CAGGAATGAATCAATTAATAGACAGGCAGTGGTGCAAAATCATGCACAGCTTTTCGGGTGTCTGCACTAGCCATGGATTCTCTGGACTCTCTGTCTTGTATCAGGTAAATTGTGTTCACACTGTCTTCTGCCCTCTGCTGGCTTCCTTCTGTTCTTTCAATGTCTTCTGGCACAAATTCTTGGCACACCTCTTTTTCACCATTTTGGGATCATAATCCACAGTGGGTTTTCCAGGGAATATTCCCTGGACTCTAATACATCCCTCTATTACTTACCTCCAAAATGAAACTGGTATTTCTCCATTATGTAAGTTATTTATATTGTAATTCAAAACTGATAGCTGCCTTCAATTCAATTTTAATTCCACCAAGGATAGCCTGTTCTTCCCACACTGTATACTCAGTTCTATCTTATTTTAAAATAAATGCACATATACATGGAAACACACAAAAATACAACATAATTGTTGAATGATCAAGTGACATGATAACATATTTATCTAAAAAAGCCAAAGAGATCAATGATACTAAAAATTTATAAGGACACAGTATAACAAGGGAAAAAGATGGGGAATATTGGCCATCTCACATATAGTCTGTACAAAAGATGATTTCTAAATTTGACAATAAATGTCCATTCAGGTAAGTTATAAAACAAGGCTGTTTTGTGACTTTGTATAATTTAAGTTGTCCAAAAATTTAAATTTCAAATATTTTAATCATTACTAAATTTAGGAATATGCCTATCATGGATGTTTGATTAAGGGACTCTTGAAAGGAGAGCAAACTCTAATCACGATCATTTTATAAAAACATTGAAGTAATATTCAAATTAGGAGTTCTTAAGTGGACCTTGTAGGGAGGTAAAGATTATAACATCAAGTCAGGTTTAAGACAGAGCATTTCTGTGGTAAGTATGGTTATAATGTAAGGCAGATACTTTGCTTTCTGGTCGTCTTACTTATTTCAGTGATAGAACCTGGAAACACTAGGTAGACAGCTAAAATATTCATTAACATGTCTCAATCAAATATAAGATTTCTTAAATTCTCACCAGGTGTCAAATCAAAGCCAACATATAATGAAATTCCTTTCAGATATCTGTAATGCTTTTTTGTAGGAGAGAGAGAGACACAACGAGACAGTGAGAGAGAGAGAGAGTCCTTTGAATGTCAGATATAAAAAGGAATGACTTTAGTATTCAGTAAAGGCATTTCACTCAAGGGCATACATTCTGTCTAAGCCAATATTAAATCTGAAAATGACTTCTTATTTTCCAACAAATCATGTATTTTCTTAAAGTTTTTGTTTGTTCCAGAATTTCTTTTAATAATTTTAGATAATAACTTTCAAATATCAACATTTCAGCTAATAGCATGCTGATTTCATATACTACAGAAATTCTCAAGTTAAAAAACTGTAGAATTTATAACAGATAATTATAAGAAAATGTGCTTATTTTCAAGGGAAAAATATGACCTTAAATTTTATTTTTCAGTACTATAAGTGAACAATATCTTTTCCTAATGCAAAGTAAAGAATTTGGTTTGCATTACTAATAATACATCTGGTTGTTACAGTGTAGTAAAAACACTTAGTGTAAACGGTTAATCCATGGTAAAGAATAGCTGAAGGAGAACTCAACTACATGTAAATTTTACTATTTTACTAATTTCTTTATAAAAATATTATGGTAGTTTTTCCTATTATATGTGTTACTCTCAGTTAATTTTGCATAAGGAACAGTCATTTTTTTCATATTTGTTTAACTACATTATCACCCTATCTGATGAAATCTGAAATTTTAAAAGTAGTTTAGTATAAAAAACATTGGTCCCAATAACAGCATGGAATTCAAATGAGATACCGTAATTTATTTAGGCAGTAAAGGACTGCCTTGGAAATATCATGTGGCCAATAAATTAAAAGATTGAAGAACTTGCCACATAAATATGCAAGAGATAAAGGTGAAATAATTTGAGGCAAGTCTGTGAATGATGCTTACAAAAAGTCCAATATATCCAGGGCAGTATAACTAATTCATTTTAATTGGAATTAATGATACCCAAATTGTGAAGTGTTTTTGGAAAGAAGGGTTACAACACATGGAAGTCCTTACAAATCAAACTTGAAGGATTGGAGTTTGTTTAGGAGCTGATGATATTTATGACTATAGAGCCAGGGGGAGATGAAATATTCATGAAGTTGATACAAGAATTTTTAATTTAAGAATAAACTTATTCCAAGCAACCCAAGAAATATTTTCTGCAGCTGGAATGGCTTTTGTCAGAAAAACATGAAGCATATATCAGTGTCTTACAGAGTTTGGAAGTCTTTTTTCTTGGTCACATTTAGCGTAAAAGTGTAGTTCTCTCTGAAACTCAGAGACACCTGTCAATATTCTTCAAAACAGTTCAACCAGACACAGAGAACATGTGAGGCAGAGAGCAGATCAGTTAAAAGAACCGCAGGTGCTACACATGGAAAATGACAATGTTGAGGCAAGATGACAGATGGATTTCTCAACATTTAGAAAAAATACATAAATCAATAGTGACATAAATAAACTTCTGAAAGTGTACCATGGCTGAGTATATGGTACAGAATAGGGCAAGAAAATATTTGTTAGTTCTGTTCATGTAAACAAAGAGCAGATTATCTTGAGTGTGTGTGTGCATGGGGTGAGAGGTGGTGGTGATAATTTTAGCCCTGTACTACCCCTAGGTGTATTAGTGCACATCCATAACACAGCTTTCAGGAAGCTAAGGCAGGAGGAAGCCAGCCTGGGAAACATAGAAAACAAGAAACCCCTAGACATGCTGATTTGAAGTCATACCTTGAAAATGAGATATCTGATTTAGGAATTCCAGGGAAAGAGGAATTTTGTCAGGAGGAAGAATGATTAATGATCATCAGCTTAGATATGGGCAGGGATGAGCATGCCTAAGTGGAGTGTACTGAATGGAAAAAGAAAACATCCAGGATCCAGGGATTACTCCAAAGCAAAGATGCTACATCATTAGAGAACAAGTAAGAGAGACATGAAACAAAGAAAACAAGGCAAATGTGATGTCATGAAAGCCAAGAGAAGGAAGTGCTGAAGAATGAAGTCTAGTTCAACAGGCTTAGACTGAGTAGAGGTACTGCAAGGGAGAGACAAAAAAAATACCCATTTATTCATTAAAAACTACTTAGCTACCTTGTGAATAAAACTGGTGATTTGACTTTTGGGCCTACACATTTTGATTTTTACTTCATGAATTCATGCACTATTTGTTCTTTTTTCCTCAGTTAATTAAAGAGATTTGGCAGCTGAACATCTAAAAAGTTAGCAGAAGATGATGCCTTATTTTTTTCAAAATCTTAGCTAATATTTTACTTATATTTAATATTTGGGGAACACATTTTGTTTTAGAAATCCCTGTCTAAATTGTTCACTTTGAGGACCATTTTTCTGATGTTAAATAATCTATGAATAACTCTACAATACTTTAGAGGCTATAACAACTGCATTGACAAATAAAATTAATCAAATGAAAATTAGTCAACTTTATGTTTGAAAAATTATTATCAAAGTAGCCTTTTGATATGAATAAAAATATGGTGACAGTAATCAGCACAGTTTTGTGATGCAATTTTCACACAAGTATTGAAATTAACTTTAATTTCAGTCACATGGAAATTAAGCAGCCATTTTATTATTGTATAAAAACAAAGATTTGTTTTGTTTTTTGTGGCACTGGAGCTTGAATTCAGGGCTTTCACTTTGAGCGGCTCAGCAGCCCTTTTCGTGATGGGTATTTTCCAGATAGGGTCTGGTGAACTATTTGCCTGGGCTGGTTTGAACCATGATCTTCCTAATCTCTGCCTCTTGAGTAGCTTGGATTATAGCTGTGAGCCACTGTCTCCAGCTAAAAACGTAGTTTTGAATTCCATATACATTTTTGTGGTACTGGGGCTTGAACTCAGGCTTTACTCTTTTTTGTACTGTGGCATTTACAAAGGTTCTTACAATGTATCAAATAGGCTTTATTCTTGTTTAGGCATCTACTCTACCACTGGTGTCATTCCACCAGCCATATTTTATGAAGAATTGAGACAGTAAAAACTCATTGAAAAGAATCACTTCAAGTATTGTAAAGTACATGTTTATAATGAATTATAAAATGTTAAGATTTCATTATATTTCTTGGTTGTATGAAACAAAATTCAATAAATAAATTTTCTCTTTATGTGTGACTCGTATAAAGTTTAAGTAATTGAGCAAAATTATTTCAGATACACTAATTGAGTTGTATACACTAATTCCCACTAAAAATAAAGTCAATAAATTCTTGAAATATAAGTAATTCCTTGATTTCAACCATTATACCTGGAAAATCAGATTAATAATTACTATATTCTTTCTATTGACTTCCCGAGCATAACCTTGGGAGGGAAAAGTATATTTTAATAATTTATCTATGATGCATGTAGTACCAATTTTGCTTACAAGCAATGCTTTAACTCACTCAAAAAATGAAAACTAAGAATTATTTTTGTGGGATTTATTAATCATACATTTTGTTATATTTTTTAAATGACAGAATATGAGTTCAAATTGCAGAAGAAATTTCATTTTAATATGTACTTCTTAGATAGAATTGAATATGCAATATTGTTGCTTTATGCTTGCAAGGAATGTAATTGGAAGCCAGCAAAATCCTTCCAAGAAACAACAAGCAAGTGTTTTACAAAAGAAAGAGCCTATGAAAAATAAACGAGTGGCAAAATCTGTGTCAAAGTATTGATTACCTGTCACTGTTTTTGTAAGCAAGTGAGCAAGTAAAATGGATAAACTGTAAGTCAAAAATTGAGAAACACTAATTTGGGAATTTTTAAGAAACACAGGCATGAGTTTGTTTTCATTTATAGGTGTATACGTTGTATGTCCTAACTTTGGTCACCATTTTGCACAAACAAGAGTAAAATCTCTCTTTCTTCCTGAATCAATATAAACAGAGCCCAGATGGCCGTATCGAAGTCAAAGGGCAGCGTGGAAGGTCATCCCTGCATATTACAGACGCGAAGTTGTCAGATGCAGGGAGATATGACTGTGAAGCTGCAAGCAGAATTGGAGGGCACCAAAAGAGCATGTACCTTGATATTGAATGTAAGTTATTTATAATTTGTTTATTAATACAACTTTGTCTGCTTTGAAAAAATATGAATTCTTAAAATGCATATGGAGTTCGTTTTTCAGTATTTAATGTATAGCTTTAGAAAGAATGTGACCTTTCAAAGGAAGTTACTAGCGACATCTAGTGGTTATTATGGGACATTTCACAGTGCTATCATTCAACGATGCATCCTGAAAATGTGACTTTCGTCTTTTGCAATATTTAACCGCAAACACAGAATCCTCCCAGCCTTATTAGTTTTCAGTAATTGTCCAAATTCATTAGTCATAGACTTTTGTGTGTTTTTTATGACATAACGTAGTTCTGTACTTCAGAAAAACACTGTTTTCATTTCTTACTCAAATCGTTTTGTTGGATTATTTTAAAGGAAGAACTTTAACATCATTCTCAACAACTATTTATGGATCATCAGTGATGGAGGGTCACTGATACTGGAAAGAGCATAACTGTCATGGTGGTAATGTTTGAGACACTCTTGTTGACATGCATTTCTATTGGAACATTTTTAGCACATTAATATTGATAGAAAGCAATAGTAAACATGAAATGGGATGTTTTTCCTATTGACAATGCCTAGAAAAAGATAACGTTTTATCAAGGACCCAAGTAAGTAAACTGCATTATATTACATATTTATAAACTCAACTCATGTTGGAAATTTATATATTTAATTTGTGCATTTTGCATATCTAATAATTTTTTCCTTTTTAATATAAATTTAAATGAAGAAAAAGTGTCAATATGTGGATTATATTGGAATAAACACATCCTGAGATAATCTTTTATACTGCATTGTTTTAGAGGGTGTAGGTAAATAAATTATGAAAAAATACAAAATTTCCCACATTGTTAAAAATAATTAGATATTAAAAATAACTATCATTAGATTTTCATAATATTTATTAATTTTCCATAAATATTGTTGTAGCTGAGTTTGCTGGAACTTAAAACACTTCATAAATTTTTGTCTTTTATAATAGAATACATAAATTTATTCTACATTAGTATAAATAATTAGAAATAGAAATATAGTGTATTTTACTACTTTATTGAAATATAATAAAGTGCAATGTGAAATGTGGTCAGTCTTTACATCTATAAAATCAAGATAAAGTTTTCCAACACTCTCAAGTTTTCTGAGCCCTGTTTGTATCCTAACCCTCCTTTCACATACACCCATATCTATTTATCTACTTTTCTATCATTACAATTTAATTTACATTGTTAAGAACTTTTTATACATGAACTCATGAGGTATTATTATTTTATTTTATAATTTTAAAATTGTATTAATCACCAGCCTGATATTTATATAATTTTGATTGACAAATCATAACTGTACATACTTCTGCTGTATGATGTGATGTTTGGATATACATATGCAATGTGGGATGATTAAAAATAGTTAATTAAGATATCCATCACCACTCCTATTTATCATGTTTTATGGTGAGACATTTGAAATTTACCCCCAAGTTACTGTGAAGAATATATTATTATTAACTATAGTTACCTGGCTACACAATAGATCTCAAAACCTTCTGTCTATCTGAAACTTTATACCCTTTGATCAACAATTCCCCATTGCTCCCTCCTCACTCCTCCAGCCTCAGGAACCATCATTTGATTCTGAGTTATACTTTATCAAATATTTCTCTTTCTGTAGCTGGCTTATTTTTCTCAGCATATGTCTTTCAGGTTCATTCATGTGTTGTATTCATGTGTTAATGATTTCTCCCTTTTGAGGACAGAAGAATTTCACTTTGTGTATATATATATATATATATATATATATATAAATACATATGTATACATATGATTTTTTTTATCCATTCATCCACTGGTGGCCATTTTGATTTAGTACATTTATTTATCTTTGCTATTGTAACAGTGCTGCAATGAACATGGGAATGCAGCTATCTCTAAGAGTCACTTCACTTATTTCCTTGGGTATATACCCAGAATAAGGATTACTGGATCATATTTAATTTAATTTTTTATTGTTTTGGGGAAACCATAGTTTTCCATAATGGCTACACTTATTTTTGTTCCCACCAAAAATATACTATATAAGAGTTCCCTTTTCTCTGCATCCTTTCCAAATTTATAGTTCATCTCCTTGACAAAAGTCATTTAACATGTGTGAAGTGGTATCTCTCTTCAAGTCCTCTGCCCTTTTTTGAAGGGGTTTCTTTACTGGGGATTGAACTCAGCACTTTGTACTTGTTAGGCGGGTGCTCCACTGTGTTAACCAAGCCTCCAGCTCTTTTTGCTCCAGTTATTTTTTAAGACAGTGCATCCCTGTCTGCCCAGGCCAGGTGGGATTGAGAGCCTCCTATTTTAGCTTCCTACTGTAGCTGGAATGACAGACACATGCCACTACACCCAGCTGTTAGTTGAGATGGGGCTCACAAACTTTTTGCCTCAAAAAGGGCTGATCTCAAACTATGATTCTCCTGATCTCAAGGAGCTTATTTTGCAGCCTCCCAAGTAGATGATATTGCAGGCATGAGTCACCATTGCCTCGCTCCTTTGCTTGTTTTAAAATTACATTATGTATTTCCTTGCTTTTTATCTGAGTTCAGTATACATTTTGTTATTAACTCCCTATCAACTGCTTTTTCAAATGTTCCCTCTCACTGTGTGAGTTATCTTTGGGGAGTTCTTCAGTCCACCTCCACTGCCATACTTGCACGTGCATTAATAATTTTTTAAGGTTTGTTTTTCATGGTATTTTATAAATATAGTTTATCTAGCATCAGTTGATTGACACTTTTAGTTCTCAATTGTTGGATATTAAACAATTTTGTGAGCATTTTTTATTTTAATGTGATGATAAACTTTCTGTGCTCTACAAAAAGAAAAAGTAATTTCTTTGGCTTCTTATAGTCAAATATGAAAAACAGTCAAATGTGAAGAAAAAAATCACTTAATTTTGCCAAGTTCCAAATAACCAAATTAAACTTTTATACATCATAAGTTTTGTGTTCTAAGAAATCATTATGTAGCTCAAGGCACTGAGGCTTTACACCCATGTTTTTTCTCACATGTTCTCTGAATATCGTTTTTTACAGTTGGTTGTGATTGGTTTTGAGCTCAGTTTTGGGGGTCATTGCTCATTATTTATCTATGCATATATCTACTTGATAAACCACTGTTCTTTGAAAATACTTTCCTTTCTTTTGATAAGGATTTGCCAAGTTGGTTGACATTCCCAAAGTCTTAGCTATTAGTTTTGTAAATTTTATTCTCTATGACTCATCTGTTTTCTGGTTTTAAGGCTTATATTTTATCTCTATTTCTTTATTTTTTATTGTATGTACAATTTGGATTCACTTTGTTCTTTGTCTAAAAAACATAGGGAATTTATTTTAGATATTTTGTAACTTTTAAAACAGCCTTAAAAAAACTCAATAATTTGGCTAAATAATGTTTTAATTGTATTCTACAAATTGTGATATATTGTAATTTTGTTATCATGTGCTTTTTGTTATGTCAACTGAATTTTTTATTTTTAATGCCATATATATTACATCTACATTCATGTATAATCTCATCTGAAAGTATAATATTTGTTTTAAGCAGTTACAGTATTTTAAGGAGCTGGATTGAAATATTTCATATGTATTCATTTCAATATATTTTCACTTGCTTAACCATTATCCTTAAAGTTCTAACTTTTACTCAGTCTAAAGATATTTCTTTTTCATTTCCTATACTGCACATTAGTTTGGTATTGAGTTGGTTGAATTGTTAATTTTTTTCATCTGGAAAGATTAACTTCTGGCCCCTATTCCTGGAGAGTATTTTTTTTCTATTTGTTTCTGAGGGTAAGAATACTGAGTTGACATTTAAGATGTATTTTCAGTCTTCTTGCCTAGGTCTCTAAAGAGAAATCTGTACAATTTTCAGTTTTTTCTTTGAATGCCTTTTATCAGTTTTCTCTAGCTGCTTTCAAGCTATTTTCTTTCTCTTTGTTTTTTATTAGTATGAACTAGAATTTGTCTAGAGATGGTTTTCTTTGAATATTGCTGTTTAGGTGTGCTGATCTTCAGTCTGTAGGTTCATGTTTATCTATATACTTAGGCAGCTTGGGGTCATTTTTTCTTCAAATATTTTTCTGCTAAGGTCTTTCTTATCTCTGGGAATGTACTTATATACCTTGGCCTTATTTAAATTATCTCACAGGCCCATGGGACAACTCTGAGACTTTGACTTGCTGCTCCTCAGATTATATCACTTATGTTCTTTCCCCTTTAGGTTAACTCACTCTACATGTCGTATTTTTTCTACTGTTGAACCAAAACAGTGAACTTACTGGTTTTAGCTCTAGATTTTCAATGCTGTTCTATAATTTTTACCTCTCTCTTTACAGAGAATTTCTACATGTTCATTCATTTCGAGTATATTTTCCTTTACCTCATGAAGCATGGGTTAAAATGTTCTAAAATATTTGCACTATATCTACTGAGTGATAAATTTGATATCTGTGAATTTTCATACAGGGAATTTTGGTATTTGTTTCTCTGATTTCTCTTTAGCATTAAACTTAATACCTATAGTATGTGGTGTCTCTTTTCCAAAGTATGCCTTGCTCTCCTGGATCTGTTTCATCTTTCAAGAACACTTATAGTATTTTTCAAGAACTTGCACTCTGGAAAAAACCTGTATAGAATAAAACAAACAAACAAAAAACCCTGGGAACAAGTTTTCATTCTTCTTTAGAATTTACCTGATTTTGTTTCCTTTATAGAATCATCAGGTAGTTTTATTATTAACTTATTTTTCCACAGTTTCAAATTCTTATAGTAGTAGAGATTGGCTAACAAAGGATTATATTGCTATGATAAATATAAATTTGCTTTATATTCTATTTTTAATGCATCCTTAAAGCATGAAATTATTTGGGTTGCCTAGTTCCTGCAACTAATAACTCATATGTTTTCAGTAGTATTTTTAATTTGTTTCTTAC